AGGTTCAGAATTCAACGAAGACAAATGGTTCTGTATTTCTTCCCATAATGCTACCATATAATTAATCGACTCACGGTGCATAATAAAAATACCATACAGCTATGTTGTATTATACTCACCTTTTGAATACATATCAATTATCATCAAGCTCATTGAATCATAATTTTATGCATGTTCACAAGTACCTGACCAAACTCAAACAGGCTCAATGCAGCTTTACTTGCTTCATCATAATCATCTTGAGTCATCAGTCCACTCTTAACAATCTACAAGGGAAAGTGATCACCAAAGAGAAGGTCAGTTCTGCTTACATACATAAATATAATATCTCTCCCTATTTGGTCCCGCCCGGATTTGCACAAAAGAAGCAATGGAACAATTTTTTTGAAAAAAGAAAAAGAAAACCGAAACAGTTAATGGGTTTAGAAACATACTGGTTGATGGACCTGTAAGTTGAAGAAGAAGATGGAACAATTTTTTTGAAAAAAGAAAAAGAAAACCGAAACAGTTAATGGGTTTAGAAACATACTGGTTGATGGACCTGTAAGTTCAAGTTACATGAATACAATGAAGCATATATCCAAATGAACTTATTATGTGAAGCTCAGCAAAAGAGAATAAGGTTAAAAGGCAAGCAAGGAATGCAAACCTCTTCTGGCGTTATGGGAACATCATGATCTTCAGCTTTAGTAGTTGGTGTGAGTATATTTGCATGCAATTTTTGGTTTTTCACCATACCTGAAACAGACACGTGGATTCGTAAGCAAAATAGAATAACTGTGTAATTGGTCTTCATACAGAGTTACGGGACCTCACCGTCAGGAAGAGCATTCCCACAATAGTTTCGAACACCTTTTTGGTAGACAGTCCAAAGTGATGTATCGGTACTTCCAGTCACATAACCCCTAACTACAGATAAGCATCATCATTATTGTTTAGTTGAAGGACCAATCAAACAGAGTACATCAATAACCCCTAAAAGCATTTGCAATGTGCACTTCTAACGGAAATGACTTATGCTCAAAGAAAAATAAAATAAAATTGTTAGCATTGCTAATGACTCACCAACAAATTCGACAGGAAATACAGAACATTTCTTTGCAATAGTAACATTCCTATCTGGAGATGACACAACTGCATTTGGAATAATGTGATGAGTTTTACTAAACCACCACAAACTTGTCTCATTGAGTACCTGAAAAGTAACAATGAGTCATCAACAACGAGAAACAAAAATTAACCTTATTACTGACTCA